CTATCTATCTATCTATCTATCTATCTATCTATCTATCTATCTATCTATCTATCTATCTATCTTCTATCTATTCATCTCTATCCACCTCTACCGTCTGCCCACCCATCCCTATCAATCTTTCTATCCATCCTTAGCTGTAGAATCATACAATGAGGCCAGAAGCCACCCATCGCTTCATCTTCCACAAACTTGTCCAATCCCCTTTTAAAACGGTCTAAAACGGACGGCTGTCACCACATCTCGTAGCAAGATGTGCAGTCCAGATGTATCCGGAAGACCTAGACCACTGCCAGTTTTTCCCCCCTGTGCTTTAAATTCATCATTAACTGTTTGGTTTTGCCTTTTAGGTCATCTTGCATGACGTGATCAAGTTTATAGTCGTGTATCTCGTGTTTTTGTTTGGATTTGGCGTAGGTAAACAGAACTTGATGCTTATTTGCAGGGGCATCCATGGGGGGGGCGGTCCAAAAAAGGCACAATGGCCCTGCCCCTTTCTATGCGCATCACACATGCAAGGCTTTGCTTGCTCTGCTGTGGCCATCATTTTGACTTTTTTGACCCCTTTCCTGGGGATACCCTTGATTATTTGGGAGGGAATCAGTTGCAATTCAACTAAAATGCAATTGGGTAGTTTGTAGTTCAGTGTCCTATGTGAGCACACTAGTCCAGTGTTTCTCAACCTTGGCAGCTTGAAGGCGTGTGGACTTCAACTCCCAGAATTCCCCAGCCTTGTCCACACGCCTTCAAGCTGCCAAGGTTGAGAAACACTGGACTAGGCTCATTCACTTGTGAATTTCAGCAGCAGAAGGGGGATTTGAACGGACATGTTCTCACATTCTACCCCAAAATCTCCACCACCCACGGTGTCCACCGCACCAGCTCTTTATGGTGGGATCCACAAACCTCCTTGAAGGACAGGCCCTTTTCAGCCACAGAATTAAAACTCAATCCTCGGCAGAGAGCTAATGCCATCAAAGTCAACAGATCAGAGAGCCTGTTTAAGATGGAAGTACTGAAGGAAAATATAGTATTCTTTTTCCTCCGAAAAGCTCATAGCAATAAACTTCTCCACCTTTCCATAACCTTCTTCCAATATTCTTTCTGGGGCTGGTTCAGGAGTCAAGACAGACTCACAGGCACAAATATTGGGGATGGTTCACAGAACCTGTTAAGCCGGACATCCTGCTTGTTTCTGCCTTAACAGCTTGGGTGAACACCCAGGCTCCATTATGGTTTGCACAATAAACCGTGTGCTATCCTATCCTAGCTTAATGAGCTACATGAATGAAGCCTGGCAAAGGGTGTCTGCTATAATTTATATCTTGGAGCAGGGGTGTCTGCAGGGAGGGGATCGAAAAATCAAGATGTGCACATCAAAATTGCACAGTCGACGTTTTTGACCCCCTTCCTGCGGATGCCCTGCTTTGGACTTCTGACGCATTTGGGGGGAGCGCTGGGTCATCGGGAGGATATTCTCATCTTAGATAGGAAAGACTCTAATCTTATCCCCCTTTCTGTTTCCAACCCAGCTCTTGCGGCCTTGGTCGACTCCTGCCCCGAAGACAGCAAGTGCAACGAGTACAGCGTCTTGGGGAGCATCGAGATTGACCTGTTCATGCTCACCTTAGGTCTTGGTGAGCTGGATGTCCCCAAGAACGCCAAATACCCCATCCTCTTCCTGCTGCTTCTCATCTCCTTCGTGATCCTGACCTTCGTCTTGCTCCTCAACATGCTCATTGCGCTGATGGGAGAAACGGTGGAAGACATCTCCAAAGAGAGCGAGCACATCTGGCGGCTGCAGGTTGGCTCGGGGCGGGCGGGTGGTTCATTCCTTGCAGGAAAACGGGGTTGAATTAAGTGCAGATTTTCAGGGGATGGAAACGTTTGGAAATCTCTTTGTAACGTCACCTGTTGGTTATCACTGTGGCCCCCAGAGAGCGAGGACAATCGTGGAAATCGAAAAACTTCTCCCCCAATTCCTGAGGAGGAGATTCCAGCTCGGGGAATGGTGCAAAGTGGCCGACAGTGACAGCCGGTTATGTTTAAGGTAATTTGTGTGCAAAGTGTGAGGAAGTTTGCTCCGGATGGGTGAAGAGCGGAAAACCGAATGCAATGACAGATGCATTCAACTGTTGTCCCCCAGTCCCCAAATCATCTCATTTGTGTGACTCTGAAATATCAAGACGAAGCAATACCTCCTGTGGAGGGGAAGGGGGTCAAAAAAGTCAACATGGCAGCTGTGACCACTTGATTAAAGCTCTGCCCCTTTTTTACAGGCATTGATTGCATGGCCACCGCCTCTTTGACTTCTGTGAACCCCATGGACTCTCCCCAAACTCCTCTTATAAAGCCAATTTCCATTTCCAAACATGCTCCTTCTTGAACTTCCTTTTATGCACATTAAAGTAAAATCAACGGGCAACGTTTTGCATCAAGGCTTCATTTGCAGGGGAAAAAAACTCAGATCTTTCCATCTCTAAAATGTGACGGTCAGGATGCTTGAGACAGGTGGCCCTTGACCCTAATAAATCGTTGTGCTTCTACTGAAAGCGCTGAGCAGAATCACAGCTAAGATCAGAGGATATCATGAATTGTGTTTGGACATGGCCTCAGCAGTGCCTCCATGCAATCTTTGGCCTGCTAAAAGGGTATGATTTTAATAAGGCCCATTGACTTAGTAGCAACAAGATCAAAGAACCTCAGATTTCAGTAAAGGATCTTTAACACTCATCTTAGGATAAATACAGGATCTTAGAAACTGCATTTCCCAGCCTTGTTTTCGTGAGTTCGTTAAAACAGAGTTGCTTTGAATGATCTGAAACGCTCCTTCCAGGGTTTCTCCCCACCTGAGCTGAGCTGCTGTTTGTGAGATAAGCGACCCACAGACCCCCCTTCTTTCTCTCAATTATGTATGTCAGCTTTCCTTTCCCTTCCCTTCCTTTCCAGGCACCCCATAATTTCTCACTTCTATCCTCTTTCATTCAGGTTTACTTCAGTTTATTTTAAAACATGTCTTAGGTCAAACTAAATTTATGGCTGTATGTTCAAAAACGTAAAGATAGTGCTGTATCGGTAATGCCATACGATTACTTTAAAATATACTGGGCTTTTGGGCAAAGACCTCAAAATCGCTTTTTAACAGGTCCAAATCATTTTTGATGGAGGCCAGTTGCTCAAACACTGAAATAACAGTTTGCGCTGTAAGCAAACGTGGCTTTGCCGTGAATTCGATCGAGCCATCTCGCGTCAGCAGCTTTTCCCAGTCCTTGCTCTGTTCAATCTTCTCCTCAGAGGAAACTGGAGAGCTAGTGAAATGGATGGGGAAGGGCTGACACAGAGTCCGACCTGTCTATTAAATCATCTCTAAGAGATGCAGAAAGCTCCAATAATTGCTCTCCTTCTATTTCTTTGGTAAATCCCATTCAAGAGCCTCAGATTTATTAGAGATGGGAGTTGGGGAATGTTGACTTACTGTTTCTTTTTGCAGAAAAAGTTGGTCAATTTTCGGCTGTCTTGGAAGAGTGTTGGGAGCCAGGACTGGCTCCAGGACACATCAGAAACCTTTTCTCTTCTCTTTCTCTTTCCTTCTTGCTGCCTGACTTCTCTCTCTTCCTCCCTGTGAGTTAAGATAATAAGATAATAAATAAGATAATAATATAAAATAATAAGAGATAAGAGAGACTTTAATAGGTCTTGACCGGCTCTAACTTGAAGGGCAGGAACGTAAACCAGGAGCTCGCAAAAGACATCCTCTCCCATCAGGCACCCATCATCCCCCAACCTCTAAAATATTCTGGAGTATTGCATAATGCTATATCCAAATGATATTTTTAAGGGACAAGGTCATTTAGTCAATGTCAGTGGTGAAAGAGTGTGGCTTCTCCATGAAAGAATGAACGGTCCATCCCCTTTCAGTGTGCTGATAAATCATGGATTGATTAATCCATGAACTCTGAGATATGGGAAGTGCTTCTGTAATAATGAGGATGAAGCAGAAGAATTAATTGATTTGTGTGCTCTGTAACTAGGATCAATGAAGTCAAATGGACAGAATGGAAAACCCACGTGGCCTTTATCAATGAAGATCCCGGCTCGACAGGTAACTGAACACAGCCACGCAAGGAATGGTCTATTTTTGAAAACGAAGCCTAGATATTTTTTCCTTAGAAATGTTTGCAGATAATACAGGTGCATATAATCAGTCCCAGGCAATAGGAATACATATATGAATTTTTATTTTGGGCTGGGTATGTGATTTGCAGAGAGACGCAACCTGAAATAAATAGAGTTCCGCACAAATTAAGCGCCTCCCTATCCAGTGTGGAAGATGATCAGAAAGTATTCTTACATCTCTACATAAATGTGAAGGGGAGACTGTCTATAAACTTCGTCCATAAAAAAACCCACATTGCTGTCTATGTTGTTATTATTATTATTATTATTACTGAAATCTGTATGCTGCCTAATCACTTAAATTCTTGGCAGCTTGCAACAAAATCAAATACAAAAGCAATTGACAGTAAGAAGCCAGAAACATATACAGATAGCCTTTGCTTAACAACCGTTTGAAGTTATGAAGGTGCTGAAAAAAGTGACTTGCGACCGGTCCTCACACTTACAACCATTGCAGCATCCCCACAGTCGCGTGAACAAAATTCGGACTCTTGGCAACCGGCATGCATCTACGATGGTTGCAGCGTCCCGGGGTCACGTGATCGCCATGGCTGTATGTTTAACCTTCCCAACCAGCTTCCGACATGTGAAATCAATGGGGAACCATGTGATTTGCTTAACGACCACTGCAAAAAAGGTTGTAAAATCAGGTCCAGTCATGTGATGATTCACTTAATGACCTAGTCGCTTAGTGACCTAAATTCCAGTCCCAACTGTGGTCGTTAAGTGAGGACTACCAGTAATAAAACTTCTGTGATAAGAAAAGGGGGGAAACTTAATAAACAATTACAGTTTTTTTCCGCAACCTTCATAACCTCAGAGCCCAAAACCACTAAACCGCCCCCCCAGAACCAACATTGCAAGTAACAATAAAACCGTTTAAAAATGTTATGTAAGTTTCCATAGTGAAGAATGATGATAGCTGTGAGAGGAACAAAACGATGAACCATTCAAAAGGAGGGGAAGGCCCATGGCTTAGTAATTTCATCTTTTAAAGGTGTGTCTTTATATAGTGCATAGTCAAATTAGAGAATTTATTGCCATTAGAAGTGGTAATGGGCCAACAGCTCGTTTATTTATTTATTTTTTTAAAGGCATGAGTCAGTTTTACGGAATGATTGGACAATGACTGGCTGGTATTCTTGAATTCTTGTGCATCTGTCAAATTCAGTTCATA